CAAGGCATCAGAAAATACCACTCCTGCAGGGGGGATTAACACTGCCAGAGAAGATGCCACATCTGCCCGGGGGACAAGTAAGGCAAGTGACATTATACATCATCTTGGGGGAAAACTTCAGCTAAAGAAACTACTGGATCCACTTCGGGGATAGATAAGGCAGCTGAAGGTAGCACTCCTGCACGGAGGACAAGTATTGCCAGAGAAGATGCCAAAAACTAGAGAAAATACCGCTTCTGCCTGGAGAACAGATAAGGCAAGTGAAAATGATACACCATCTTGGGGGAAAACTCCAGCTAGAAAACCTACCGCTTCTACTTGGGGGATAGATAAGACAGCAGAAGATACTACTTCTGCATTGAGGATAATCCAGAGAAGATGCCACATCTACCTAAGGGACAGATAAGGCAAGTGAAAATGATTGGAGTGTTAGAGGGGCAGAATAAGTTGCGCCAATAGACCTCCCACCGACAACAAAATCAATAGATGAAAAGGACAATGGATGGGGTGCTGTTTCTTCTGGGGAAACAGAAACAGGGAATGATCTAGTGGGCAACAGAAAATGTCTTCTGAAATTTTCGACCAGTGTCCTTGGGGTCAGAAAATTCCTCCTGAGACAGAAGGTCAACCTTCAAGCTTGCCTGGGTGGATTCATCTAGTGGAGATGGTAATACTGGTGAAAGAAATCTCCAATGGGGACAGAACAAGAAAAGTCATTGAAGGTTCAAAAAGTTGGGTTTCTAGTCCCGGGGAGTGGAAGAATAAGAAACGTCCTGCTAAACCACCTGGTATGGCGAATAAGAATTCTAGTGTGGTTGGACTCTATACTGCAACAAGAAAAAGATTGGATATGTTCACTAGGGAGGAGCACGACGATGTTCACTCTAATATTGAAGCTGTTATGCACTCTATCCGAAGAATAATGCATCAATCTGGGTTAGGTTTCTTTTTATATTATTTCTTAACAGTTAGGAATAGACTGATCAAATTATCAAAGTATATGATACTTTCCAATTTTCTAAAGGAAGAATGAGTTTTTGACTCTTAGATCTCGTCTAAAGTGAGAATCCGTTTAAATCCAGGAAATTTCCTGACAAAATCCTCCCTCACAGTCGAAAATACTGCTTTTAACATTTGAAGTATCATAATCACATCTAGTGCGATGATGATGTTTCATATTCATCTGTCAAAACGCTGGTTGAGCCTTAGTCTGAGACCGAAGTCCCTCCCAAAACGTCATCGTATAACATAGTTGGCTTTGCCGCTCTTGGGGCTCCAAGTTTAGAGACAAAGTTGGGAGGTTTGGGCTATTTATGAGACCGGTTGGGTTTTGGCACCTCTTTGCGGGTTTCGGTCTCATTTGTGCATCATGGTTGCTTTTGCCCATTCTTTTCAATTTTTTATTTTTTTTAATGACTTAGTCCAAAACAACGTTGTTTTGGCTAAATTTTTAATTTTTTAATGACTTGACCCAAAACAACCTTGTTTTGGCTAAGTCTATTTTTCTTTTATTTTTAAAACCCACAAGAATCCCGTGTTTTGTTTCTCCTATTTTTCTCAATAACTCAATATAGTCCCTTATTATTTAAGGTTCTGTAAGGCTTTGCTTCATGCCTAGGCGGAGTTATGCATGGAACGCCCCTCTGCCTTTTAATAGATTGATGCTTTGTTATGCTTTATCTTCATTCAACGTCTCATTTCAAACAATTTGATGAACTTATCTTCTATTTTTATAGATATCACTAGAAAATGTGCCCGCGCGTTGCTGCGGGACTTGAATGTATCACCTTGAACTGCATGAATAAGAAACATTTTACCTGAATAAATTCAACGCAATCATAAATGAAGAAAGGGATAGATGAGTGAATGAGGTCCGTAAGATATGCAGCTTCGTTTTTATATACATTCAACTGAACTGACATGAAAAGACATTGTACAATGAACAGGATGAAACTGAACATTTTGGTTCCCTAATAAACAAAAGTAACATACAGTACACACAAATCTTGCCGTTGTAGTCAATGTGGCAAAATATATATCCTATAGGTTAGGCGACGTAAAAACTGTTTCGTTCTTATTCTAGCATCTAAGTTTTCAAGCACAAACGTGCAAAGCAAAAACACATGCAGGACGCCTGTTTCCGTAAGAAACAGAAGTAACATGCAGTCCACACATATTTTGCCTTGCAGTTAAGATGGTGTTTCGTTCTTGTTCAAGCAGCTAAGTCTTGAAGCAAAAATGTTGAAAGCCAAAAACATGTAGAACACCCTGCAGCAGTCGTTCTTGTTCAAGCAGCCAAGTCTTCCGCACTATAGCAAAGAAAATAAATCATAGTTTAAAAGAATATCTCACGATGGTCCTGTTTAGAATCACAATTTACTCCCTCCCAATTTCCACCTAACTCCGAACAAACAATATTGATAAATCTTTATCATCACCTTTAACAAAACAGATCACAGCGAAAAGAAAAAGAAAAAAAGTTCTTATGCAAACAAATTCTTCTGGATGTCCAACTTAACCCATCTATGGGAAGGCAAGCAATCGGACGTAAATTGTGACCAAGGAAAATAAATTATACAATTAAAAACATCAACCGATTCTCCTGAAGAGAACACACACACATGCCAACATATTATTCACCAGATTCTAAGCTTTCATTTTCATTCTATCCCCTTCGTTATCTAAACTTATACTTATCAAAACAGTAATAGAATCATAGAGCAACCTTCAATCATTTATCAACACTGAATTAATTAAACTTCTGCTCAGCACTCCGTTAATTTTAATTGCAACTCTCGTTCTAAAAATTAAAAATTTTGCATTTGAATAATCAAACGCACTTACACATTACATTCCTTTTATTGGTTCTTGACACAATACATTTTAGGATTTGATGTTACAATACTATCACTGCAAACATGAATCGCGATAGATATAAAAACCAAACTTGCACACAAATGTTCGAATGAATTCAGAACCACTTAATTCAACATAAAAAATTACCTCACATGCTTGCTCCCCTTCTGCTCTCGAATCGTTGGCTGCGCTTCCAAACGGTTAATGAAGTCCTAAAAATAGAACAAAAACGTTTACCTATCCAACATTTCAACGTAAGCATGATATAGAAAGACAGAAATCCACTTTGTTTTCTCAGAACCAACAAAAAGGGCAACTATAAGAGAATGTAACCAATTTTAAACAGTATATCAGTCTCCCAATAAAGGAGAACATAAGCATGACATACAAAGATCGAAAGACAGATTTAATTTGGTTTCCTTAAAAGCAACGAAAAGGAGGCTAAATCAGATCAAATTAAACAAAGTGAAAACCGGATAGACAAAGATTAGAAATTTGCTTGCATCTCTATCATATCCCGCATTTCCTTTACAAAATAAACAATCATGAATACAAAGCACATGAAAATCAGCAAACCCAAAAAAATAAAGATAAACGCACAAATTTCCAAAGAAAGCAAAGAAATTGAAATTGTGTCATGAAAACTAACTAACGAATCATATTGAGACATCTTTGCTTGGTGCTTGGCAATGCTCTAACCCACTATGGGGTTTTAAATTATTCTATCCAGGTACAATGATGGGGATGCACTGCCAGCTGATGACCAGTCATTTATACTTGATAATGTTCTCAATTACCACCTGGATAAAGCTGTTAAAATGCATTCTGGAATCGGTCATCTCACAATATGCTTATCTACCCTGTTTTTGCTTAACTGCGTTTTATTTAGAATTATGTTTCAGCGCACTTTTGATGCATTATGCTTGGAATCTGTGACTGATTTTATTGTTATATTGGTTATTGTAATGTTCATTTCATTGTAGGGCAGCAGGAAACATTAAAATAGTAATGAAGCTCAGAATATTCGCTAAACACCAAAACCCACAGCACATGCCCTCTACCGAACAAAGATAAATTAAAAACTACAATACAATGCTGAAAAACTAAAGTAGCCAGAAACCAAAAGATTTTAGTGACAACTTGCACAGACGTTACAAAAATGCAGGACTCAAAACACATTAAAACATCTAGAAACTCGAAGTTATCGCTATTTGGTTATGAAGATAGATATATATCACCAGGGAAACCAAAAAAATGGCCAGGACTTGCCAAAGTTTGTAAATCAAACACAGATGCATCAACTCCTTTTCCTCTATTAGTCTGTTATCATCTCACATGCCACACTATTCGAGACAGGATCAATTCGATCACAGCCAAACTGCCAGTATTAAACTTAAGTAAGTACCGATCAAATGATCTAAACATTGTGTATTACAGATCTAAATCAATAGTGGTAATAAATAAGATAATTTCAGCTGCCATTTGCAATTAAATTTGAACAATGCTTACTCCCAAGGAATATCTGACATTGATTGCAGCAATCAAATGTGCGTTTAATTGAATTAGCTATGCATTTGAGGATTTGGGAAAGGTTTTTTGAGAGTAAACAGACATTAATTATTAGCTATGTATTTGCTTAACAAACAGTAGCTGAAATTGCTATGTATTTTTCAATGGGGAATTTAAAAACCAATCCCAATTTGTCATTGCTCAAACAAATTGGAGTTTCAGAACCAATCTCAATGATCAAATTAACGAAATATTTCTTAAGCTAATTTAGAAAGGCAAATTGCAAGATTTTGAAGGAATTTGAACAACGAGGGAGAAAAACCAAATTAGAAGGTCGTGCTTTATCTCCCTCACAAAATCAATCGCACAAAAACCCTTGCTTTTGATGGGATTTCAAAACCAAACAAATCTCAAAGATGAAGTTGTCATGTAAACATGTCTAACACAGATTTCTCAATTATTAACACTACTCTTTCTCAATTATTAAAAACATAAAGATCAAAGTCAATTGGGTGTATAATTATATACCTCATCATGTCAAGCAAAGCAACCAACTTCTGCCTCCAACAACCCAAAATTCTGAAAATTCCAAAAAAATTAATTTAAAAAAAAAAACAACATAAGAAAGATAAAACCCGGCATAAGAGAATTCTACAAACTGGATGCCAGATCATCAAAAGATTAAAAACCACTCATAATCTATTAGCATTTGAGTCTAAATATGAGAAATTGTGAATTTGTTCCATAGGATAGTTAACAGGATACTATCATATCAAAACCAACGCTGAATAAAATCGAGCAATGAGATTGCGATGATATAACGTCATTTCTTTAAAGCTGCATATACTAACCTAAAAAAGAAAATATGGGAAGAATAGACTGCCTCCATTGGCCCTCCAAGTCTCCTAACCACTAAACCACCCGTCTAGATGCATTTGCCCGTTCTTTCCCACAATTGTTAGAAATCAAATAGAACCCTCGGGTTGACTGGGGACAATATGGAAATCCTTTTTGAAACTGTAATACAGGAAGAAATGAATAATTTTGACAGAAAGACACACAAATTGTTGAGGGAGGATGTAAAGCTTCTGCACGGAAGGCTTCTACTCTTGTACATCTAAAAAAAATAAATGAAGCAAGAGAAATTCAACAAAAAAAAACTTGTTAACCCTTGCCCAAAAGAACTCACTAAATTCAAAGGATAGCATCTACACTGAGTCACTAACATACATTGCTCAGTTAGGACTCTGTTATACTCATCATCCTTGATCAATGTAATCATATATTCATAGCTACACTCCCCATTGACATACACTAACATAGCATCTACTTTTTTGCTGACTTTATTTGCTCAGTTAAGCAATAGCCAACATACACAATCTGACAATCATAGCAGCTACAGCAATCATCCATAAATGGGCAGAAATACAAATACTATTATATTGGGGTTTGGAACAAATAAACCAATCATCCAATTCGAATGTCGTTTGGAACAAATACACCAACCATTCAATTGAAATGGCAATTGGTACAAATACATTTTTCTATTAATTGGATATTCAATTAACTGGGATTAAAAAAAGATTACCAAACAAAAGCCAATTTTCTAAAGAAAATTAGTGTTTTATACCTGCCAATTCCAAAGGCCTGTATGAGGCCAAAATTGAGGGATGGTGACATCTCCAATTTGGAGTTGGGGATCTGCATTTCCTGCAATTCCATAGTGTACAACAGCTTTCACCTTGAATAGGGTTTGTAGTAATTGAGTTGAGATGCCTGCATTGAGCTTTTCACAGGTTTCTACATCAATTTTTTTTCCAGCAGGTTTCTAGAGAAAGTACTTCAATAATATTGAATGATACGGGAAATAAATGGTTAAAATTTACACTAAAAGATTTAATAATTGTCGAATCTTACGGATAATACACTTGTAGTATTGAAGCCAGACACTGTTTCCACATCATTTATTAAATACATTATCGATGATATGCACTGACCAACGAAATTAATCAAAGAAAAACAGATGGTCATCTGCATAATTAAAGATACCATGCTCAATCCGGTCATAACAATTATAACCCTTTTGTCTTCCAATAGTCCGATTCGAAACCTTCTTCCTTTCAAATTGAGTATGTAGAATTCGGTCCAAAGTTATTTTTCTTTCAATTACAATATTCTATGTATTTATAAATTTCAGAGCAGAACGTGCAAAGGCAAGAAAAGCAACAACAACAAAACTCATATATACCATGAGCTATAAAGATAAACATTTTAGCAAATGATACTGATTTCCGCATACTCATTATTCTCCATATACACTCGTGTTTATGTTGGTCATTTGAATTGAATAAATAAATAAATTAAGGGACAAAAATTCAACAAAGGTGCAGAATAAGAAAATAGTGTGAGAAATCAGTTTCTTTTAGGAAATATGTACATAGCACTCAAAGAACACCCATGTAATTATACAAACTTAATGAATATATATATATATATATATATATATATATATATTATATATATATATATATATATAATTTTATGCTTACCAGCAAAATCCAAATACGTAGCTTCTGATCAGCCACAAAGCTTGTAGATTGAAGTTCTAACCAGAGAAATCTTTGAAAAAGGCAGATCAGATTCATGAGGAAATAAAAACTGTATGTTCAAATGCGAAAAGCAAATCAAGAAACGCAAAAACTTGAGAACTAATCGAAACCCAATAGAGAAAAACGAAAATCCAGAGAAACCCACTAACCTGTTCGAAGAGTGACAACCATGCAAACCTTCCCCATTTTGACAGGAAGAATAGCAGGGTGTGACATAACCATTCTGAAAACTATAGTAGCAGGTTTCCAAATCATTGAAGATAATAAATGAATAGCTAGACATTGAGAATCGTTTTCTTCATTAATTAAACAGTAGAATGTGTACAGGGCATAAGTGAGGTTTGCTAATATAAATATCCTCATTATAAATATCACTAAAGCGTGCATATACATTGTGAGGTTTGCCAATATTTCCAGCTATTTTCAAGTGTGTGCTGGTGTGTTTTTTTCCTTTCAAATATGCAGTTCTTTTCATTTGAGTCTAGATGTTAATATTTCTACGATTCAAGTGCCATTTTATTTCTTCACTTGGAAAAAGAACTAAGTCTTTTAAAGTGGCCGTGGTGGAAAGTAGCTGGACACCATTGTATAATTTCTTGACTCACTGCCCATTTTGTACCTAAAATTTCCACTTGATTATGTTTTAGCCTCTACCTATTCTCTTCCTTAATTTGGCTTTGCCTAACCAAAGTCTTTTCCTGTTTAAGGACGCGCGCCCTATGTTATTTCCTTCTCCACTGCATTCTCATCTTGCTAAAATTTATAACATCAAACCATCAGAATCGCAACCCATAATCAGTTTTACCCGCCCACAATAAATCAGAATCCTCAAGCCAACTTACATTTGATTCGGGAAGTAAAGTGACTTGTGAAAATACTTCATCAGTGTCTGGTTCAGCCTATAATTCAGCCGAAAGAAACATATTATTCCCTCACAAAGCCCAATAACTTGAGTACAAAAGAAGCAGCTAAACAATTAAATCCAGAATTCTTAGTTTTCTTTATAAGAGCAGCCACCATACTACCTTCAATGATACATTGATAACCCGACAAAGAATCTTCAATGCAAGATTATACACTGGCATCTGCTGATCAGCCAGCTGATTAGTCGATGCCTCCACCTATTTTTGAAACTAGAAAATCCAATTGACAATTAGTGATAAAACCCAGAAACACAAAACCTAATATGCATCAGCTACAAAAACCCAAATAAATGAATAAAACACTCAAATTTCTATGTAAAAGCGAACATATTTTGACCCCAAAACAAAGATGCCATAGATGGAGGAAGAGAGAAGCGACAAAAAGGGAGAGATACTAACTCAACCCCACCATCTCTCTACAGCTAACACACTTTTTCCCTCAACCCTACCCTCAAATCTTGTACCCAATCAACTCTCTTTCTGTCCCCCTAATCGTGCACCCGCCGTCACCTTCTCTCTGCAACCAACCCCCTCTCCTATCTCCCCCAAATCACACCCCTACTCTCTGCAACCAGCCCCCTCCCCTCTCTCCCCCATATCACACCCGCACCCCGTGAAGGCACTGACACCAGACCACCTCCCTAAAAACCCATACACATACCTCCCTTACCCGTTACCTTTCTCAAAGCAAAAAGTGTTATATATGATAGTACTCACCCCAATCTGGTTAATGACATTCACTGCATAACGCTCACCAGTAGGTATAGTCTCGCTTTTTGAGAAAGGCCTGAGGTCAAAATTGGCAACAACAAATTAACAAAGCCAAATGAAAGAATAAATCTACAGTCACCACAAATATTTTCTAAATGGACGATAGACCAGAGTCAAACAGGAAAGGGATAGCAGACACGGTGAGCTTTGTCTCAGTTTGAAAAGAAAAAAGAAAAGAAAATTGGGTAGTTTCAGGAGCAAAATAGTTCATTTGTGTAGAACGATAACAACGTCTGAGAGCTAGGAAGTTATCACCCAATAAATTTTGTTATACCAAAGATTCAGAAAATGGGATTAGGTATGGTAGTACCCTTTCTCTTCACATTTATAATATACGGAACTAATTAACTATGTTGAGTATAGTGAAGGGGGAAAGCCATACCTTCCTATAAATGAATTTAAAAGAGGGGATTTTCCTGCATTTTTAGGACCAAAAACGAAGCAGCTAACATTTCTTTCTGTTTTTTGTGTTTTACGATCTACTGATCTTCTTCTAGTAACATGGATAGCTGAAGCAGGACTGCCATTGTATCCAACATATATCAAATTCGCCAAACTTCGGTTTGGATTTAACAGTGTCATGAGGGCCCACTGGAATCACAAAAAAACAAAGATATAATTACAATTTACAATTGACTAAGGAGATTCTTTACACAAAGAAAAAATGGAAACATGTATATCATCCAAAATAAATGGAAAAAAAAAATTCATGAAGAGCATATGTAAGCTAATTTAAACAGGGTAGCAATGAAAACGAAGATACCTCAGACAAAAATGCATTAAGAGGTAAATTCCCAGATGCCGTTCTCCCTGCAGCATCCTTATAAGGAGCTTCACTCCAAGGACTGAAATTTCAGTAAACAGCGTATTAAAAATCTATTTTTGGAGAATAAAAAGAAACCATGATAGGAACATACATTATTTTATCCACAAATAACAAAAGGGTAAAAGGAACATACATTATTTTACCCTCACCAGCCATTTCCAAGTCAATCCATACCAGGGGCATTTTATACTCTTCTGGAGGTATCTCCGTAATTTGCTTACTCTGCTTCTCATTTACCAGCTACGACTCATTTCCACATAAAGATACAAAATCTGGATAACAGAAACTAACGCCAAATCCGAATAATGCACAAACCCTAAACCCTAGATTAACATAAATTACATAAATCATGTGAAAATACAGAAATTACAACTTGAATACCAGAGACAGACCTGAAGAGGGGAAGACTGACTTGAAGCTGCTTGACAACTTGTGACCTGGTGACGCACCTAGCGGCATTTCCTTCCTTTTTCTTTCCCTGCAAATTCAACGGACAATCAACGGGAAGTGTGAGAAAATGGTGAAATTAAATATTGGAAATTGTTCTTTTAATATTGATGTATATAGGAAAGCTTATAGGAGAAGGAGGAGGTGACCTAGAACTCACCGCAGGCCTGTAATGCTTATGCTTCACCGGGGCCTCGATTTGCAGATAGAAGCTCGGCCCGATCGTAACGAAGCACAGCCTCTCTCCCGCTTGAAATCTGAAATCCCCACCCAAAAAACCACGCACGAGCCTTCCTGATGCGAAAGACGACATAAGCGAGCGAAGGGATCACCGAGGGATCTGAGGGAAATTACAGAGTGAGAGAATTTCTCTTGGGATTTTTATTGTGTAATTTGAGTAGCTAAAAGAGGACTACAACAGTCAAATATAGTGAAAGAATAATTAAGGGCAAGCTGATTGTATGATTAAAGAAATCTCAAACCTTGCATAAAAAAATCAAAGCGAAAACCAGAGAAGCGTGAGGATAGGAAGAGATTGATACCTTACCGGACGATGGGGGTAGCCCAAGTTGACTGAAATCAACGAAACCTTGCTCGACCTCTCTCTCTCTATCCACATGAGAAAGCAACATCACCCAAAAGGTCAGAGATTTCCAAAACCAAAAGGAAATTAAGTAGAGAGAAACGGAGGAGAGAGAGAGAGAGAGAGAGAGAAAGAGAGAGAGATCGGAGTACCGTTAGTTAAAGCGTGGACGGCGTTGGTTCTCCGACCACTGTAATCCCTGAAGATCTCTTCCGCCCGCCGACTCGAGCCCATCTCTCTGCTCTTCTCCTTCATCTCATCGAAGCTGTCGAGTTACAGAAATGAAGCCGAGTTTGTGTGGTTTTGGTTTTAGGAAGCAGGTGCCGATGCTATTCCAGAGATGGTGTTGTGGCTGCTAGGGTTTGAGAAAGTGGAAACAAAGCCAGAAAGTTGGCTAAAAGCACCTGAGTGGCAATCTTGTAAATAAACTGAAATGTGGTTCAAAACACTGTTCATTTCTACAGTGCAATTTTGCCAGCTTCTTTAGACTAAAGTA